TATATTTCTTAACAACACAGTTTTTGTTTGGTCTAATACCAATGCCGTTAAATCGGTCACGAAGGAATTTTCTGTAGGCTTGGCACATTGCTATTGCGAAGTTGCTAGCGAACACAACAATGAATATTGTAACAAATAAATGTACAACATGGGTGTCACTTCCGCAGTATACCTGACATAACTGAACAAATGACTTGGCCGTACACTTGACTGGATTATAAATCACATGCATATCCTGGCATTTTTTAAATACTTAGTATAATTCCGGTTTTGGTAAAGAACTGTTGACACTTGCATGGTAAGGAGCATCTGGTATATAGGATATATAGTTTTAACATAACATAACATATAATTTAATCTATTGTTATAGGAGTTTTAGGACATTGCCGCGTCAACTTGCACAAATAGTTAGGACAAAAGACAACTTGTAAGTATTCATAACGATAGTGAATAGAATGCTAGATATATCATTCACGATTTTTTTAGGAGCTCTCAGATATCATAGAGACAGCCGCTGATAAAATTTTACATAAAGTAATAAGCTTGTGCCATCGTTATTAAGAGGCTAATATTTTTTTTAAATATCATTTATCCAGCCATGGACAAAACTTTAATTTTATTTTGATCACCTCCACCCCTATAATTTTTAATCATTTTCATTCATTTTTTTCTTATTTAATCTTATAGGCATTTAGACTATTATTTAATAATGACTGCTCAGGGTTTTGCTTCTCAAAACAACTTACGATACTGTACGAACAAATAATACGTATCACATATATGTATGTTTTTGTTTGATGAAATATGTATATTGCGCCACATTAATTAAATATATTTTCCAAATCATATCGTGACACGCTTTGTTAGGTTAGTTTGCTTTTAATAGTTATATCTCTCAATTATTACATAAAGGAAAAGCAAACTTTAGTTAGGAATATTATTCATTCTGTGATGATGTATTAAGGTAATATCATTAATAGACCCCTCATTGCTATTTACAAATTTCATAGAAATAATAAAGAATTTGTAGATTTAGTTTTAGTGCAAATTCATTAATGACACATATGTAGTGTAAAGCCAGAGCATTTAGTCATATTTATGGACTAACTGTTATGCTCAAATGGAAATGATTTGATATTATATATATATTGATTTTATACAAAACATTTTGATTTCATATTTTGTAATTTCTTTGATTCTTAGTGAAGTATTATGTGTTCCTTAAATTAGTAATTACTTGTTTAGCGAACGATCATAATTTAATAATTTCGCTACGTTCCGTTTGAGATGGCGTTATGTTCACAGTCAGGCATACAATCTTCAATCATTAGTACAATAATAAAGTTATTTATGTCATATAAATGAATATAAAAATTACGAAAAAAAATATTTTTAATATTCTGAGTGTATAGTAGTTGTTCAATAGAAATTTTATCATTGTTATTAATATTAGAAAAAGTAGATGTTTAAGATGACGTTAAATCTAAAATATTTATTGAATTATATTCTCAATATCTAGCTCAATTTATTTGAAAATATATATTTAGCTCAACGTATTTTAAAATTATTATGAGTAAGATCACAAAAAAAATTTAATGATACATTTCAATGTATGTTTGTTGTAGTAGAATAGGTGTTTTGAAATTAGCGATAATTTGACTAGACACTAGAAAATCGTAGGGTCAGGAGGGCGCTGCCGTTCTGCAAAACCCTAAAATCGCCGGTATTGTAAAAAATGCGATCAACGCATTTGCTTGGCGAGAAATTCCGAGCGTTCTGAGGATAATGATAGCAATGCAAAATACTATATTAAAAATCCCTGCGAAGAATACAAAAAATGTAGATGTTGGTTCTATCAAACAACTTACTGTATGTGCTATCGTAATCATCATGAATTGATCATTCCACGCCATACATCATTGCTGATGTTACTTACCGTCATATTATGATCACATTTAATATTTATGCATTTGATTTTATGATAACTTAGTATGATTACCTTACGAAGTGTTTGAGTACAAATAACCCCTTGTGATAAAAAGTTTAAATTAGTTGAACTTTATGAACCCCACATAATACCTCCAAAATAATACAAAACATAAAATGCATCTATTTTTATATGTATAAAGTGTGTAATATAAATTTGTTAAAATTGACTTTTGGTTTCAAAATGAGTAGTCACATTAAAATCTCAAAATTATTTAAGTCATACTTAACTGTGTTATATTTATTCGAAAAGAAAGTTTAGTATAGAAATTATATTTTCCATAATATTTTGTTTTTAAAATTCCTTCATTTTAATCTTGAATGATATTGATACCGTAATGTTGACAATTCATGTTTGTTTAAAAATCAATTATATTCAGAAATATTAATATATTTATGTATACATAGACATATATTATTACAGAAAGAAGATATATTTATAGAAATGATTTAATGAAAGTAAAAAAAAGATTTATATTTTTGTAAAAATATCGGTTTGCCTATCTGAGGGGTGCATATTTACGTCAAACTGAAAAGTATGACTTTTCAGCGACGAAATTCTTTTAACAACTTGCACATATATTTTTTATCCGATGCAACGGTCCTATAAGTTAGTTATTAAACGACCATGTGATGAACTTATATAAACATATTTAATTATGTGCTTGTATCGTTTCGCTAGAATTGTTTTTATCCGTATTATTGTAAATGTGTATATTTTAGATTTCATTGTTAAGTGATAACGAAAAAAATGTTTGTAACAATTTGACCATGCTTCCTGCTAGCTTATTAAGCAGTGGCTTTTATTGTTTAATCAACATTCAACTTCATTCATAAATTCATGAATAAAAATATAGAATAAGAAACATAAAATGCGTCTTTTCTTTATTTATTTCATTTAAAATTTTACTTTGAACAATCACCTAAGCAATGGGTACGCTCTCATGATCCTCTTCATAACTTGGGGTAGACAGCGATAGCGATGTATGCTTTTCATTCAACTTTCCGTTTGACTATTTCTAATCTAGACGCTGTGGCGCATAGCAGATAATAATGAACCCGTAATCATGGGTAAGGGTAGAACGAGATTGTCTTGCAGCGCTCTTTAGTCGGTGCTTTCACTTTGCAATAATTGTACTTCGGCCTTATGTTAAATAAATAATAATAACGAAAATAAAATTCTACCCCTGCTTCTTTAACATTGAGCAAGTTTATAACTGCTACGGAAATTAATTGAAATTTAATGTCTACTTCAATTTATTTGTGTCCTTTGCTGTTGAAACTAAGTATATAATTATATCCGTGGGACCCCGCAAAACAATATTTTTTTAAAGTTTATATCCTAGGATTCACGCCGAGGCTGGTGATAAGAGAACTGGTTCTTTTCTCGCTCAAAGGTTAAGCATAACGATTCAGCGAGGAAATGCAGCTAGTGTTCTTGGCACCATGCCGCGTGGATTAGGTTTATTAGATAACATGTAATTTTAGATAGATTAAATCTTGTAAATATTAGATAAATTTACAAATTTGATTTATCTATTTAGGTATGGTAATAATTAATTGAAAAAAAAATATAATAACACATTTATTACTTTGATCTAAATTCAAATAAAAATGAATACGTCTAATTATTACGCCCCTGCTTCGTCAACATTAACAACTCTACTAGTAATCTATTTGTAATAAGTATTTGTTAATATGTTCAATCGGTTACTAAACATAAACTGTCACACGTCTTTCAACGCGGCATCAAAATTTTATTTAACGCAAAAATTGCTTTTTGCGTTTGATATTAGCGCCCCTTGATCCTTGGCCCTTAAAGCGACCGTTCCTCTTGCTCATCGTGCGCCGGCGCTGCGAACACCAATGATTCGCCTAACACTGTAGTAGCTATAGTGAAAAACAATACCACGAAATGGCCACTTGGCACATGAGCCTAATTTAAAAAAAAAATCGTGAGAAATTCCATAGCGCTTCGATTGCACTATCAATCTAGCTTTCTATTACTAGTTTATAAGCAATTCGACCCAAGGCTTTTACATCATACGAGAACGACAAACAAGGTATTTAATATCGATGACTCTACGGCGCACACCATAGAAGACGCCGACTAAGGATCGCATTCATGGGGTAAGTAAAACAAACAGTATTTTATCTATTTATTGAATCGATACTTTTACATTTGTTTTTATTTAAGAGACAGGACGAGATTATGCTTATCGACTTCGCAGGCAGATACGCAGTGGAACTTTTCTTGGGCATAAGCTACAAGAAATATTCGAAAGATCCCTGTCCCCTGTAAGCAGTACTGGGCTATGTTTGTAGTTAACATACATTAAATAACACATTAAAACCCCCTTGATGTTCACCCGGGATCTCCCAACGAACTCTATGGAAATTTTCCGAGTTTTACTCGCTACTTTTCGGCACCACGATACCACGTCATTATGCTGCCCCCACTGCTGGGTCCACTAAAAGGATGACCAGGCCTGTCATCCATAAACCCTGTGTCCCTTGTTAGTAACTTTCTTTGACAGGCAGGGGATTTATATCTTAGCATTATAATGACCCTTGGTCTACAAGGCTGAAGGCTATTGATTATCATCTGATGAGATGTATATCTAATCTAGATCTTAGCCTCGCACATATTAAAGCGGTGCCTATAGTGTTCCTATGAGTAAATTACTTCTGAAATAAATTCTTCTAAATTCACTAGTTAAATGCTCATAAAAGTTATATTATTTTCAATCTTTTTATTTGCAGGACAATACACTCTGCCCCCATCAACGTCAAAATTCTAACCAAGCACGTATCAAAAATCTAGGTATTTTTATGAAAATACAACATCGTAACGATTGTGGTTACTGTAAATTTACTTATGATGGTATAATAGAAAAAACATATAGTCGACGCAGAGTAAGTGTTACGTATATATATATATATTTCGAGTCCGATATTATGAAGTAACTAGATGCTAACGTAACAGTCACGCGTGAGAGCCGTTGTGTGTTAAGGTCGCTCGTAGCTCGGACATTTTGGACGTCAATCAATTTGCCGGTAAGATAGAATTCGACTGTGCTACATTCTTTTGCCCGTATTACTCGTGTTTAAATCAATTGTCGATAGAGACATGGTTTAATCTTTTGTTGCTCGGTCCGCGATTGTGATTGTGTTTCACTTTCAACTAAAACCCACACAGTATTTTCACTGATGACGCGAAATGCTCAACGAAAATAAATCCATTCCCGATCTTATATTTAGCACGGCAGCTCTGACTGCGGCGAAGCGGCCAGTTGAACGGAGATTTTGTACCGATCACAGATCGTTTACTAATCGATCCACATAGCGTTCAGTGAAATCTGTATTCGTACACAATAGTATTAGCGAGCCCTAAAGGTTGCATGAACACTATGCGGCCTGAGCACCCCAAGGTAATACCGCGTTGCTAGTCCGAAATAATACGTTCGCCGGTGATAATAATATACAAATTATTCACACCTATTTTCACACTAGCCCACGCAAACACAACGTGTTTTCAGTATACGAAGCTAGCTTTGAGACGATATGTTGTATTATTCGTTTGACGGTGACGCTTTTGCGGGGTTCATGTGAAAACAGGAGGAAAAGCGGGAAATTAACATTTAAAAAAAAAACAGCAGTCTATGGATGTCCTTTCGTCGTGCCCTTACGTTCGTATATAAATATTTTTTGAGTCTTGTCTAAACATATGGAATCTGAATTTTCAACAGATAAAGAGAGCGATTTGCCATCAGTGCCCCTAAAAACATATCAATGGGAGGACCTGCGAAGAGCACGTGAGGCTGGAGGCTACCCGTGGACTCATTTTCTCAAACCACCATTGGAGGGAGAAATAACTGCCGAAGACATTATCAGATCAACAACTCCCAGAAGAAGCATGTCTCGTGAATTTTCTACATCCCGTACACATTCACCAAGTGACGGAGAAGCACAAAGAATCTTAAACCTAGACTCTTCTCCAGGAAGTAGCAGAAAACACGGTGAAGAGGGCGAGGACGAAGGAGTACATGTGCCAAATTTTTCTAAAGAAATCTCTTTAGATTCAGAAGATCTCCCATTAAATCAGCCAACAGAATCCAGTATACCAAATAGTCAAAAGAGCTCACATCTAGTAAAGCCTGTTGAATTACCAAAGAGTGTATCTCCAAAAGGTATACTAAAACGCCGAGCACACGAACAACAATATAACATTGGGGTTACAGAAACAAGAGAAAAAACAAAATGCTGTCATCCACTAGTAAACAAAATAAAACACCTAGCTGATAAAACTCTACATAAATTGGAGAGGAACGATAGTGAAAAGTCGCCGCAATCAAAAAGGAAAAAAAATGGGGATACACAGGAAATAAGGCAACTAAAATCTTCTCCTGGAGCTGTTCGAAGGCAAAAGTTTAGTGCAATCAAATTAGGAGATTCCGATGAAATGAGCAAAACATTGAGCATCGATACACCACCACCAAGAAAAAAGAAAGACCACATTTATGAAGATATTGAAGAAGCGAAATCCCAGAATGAGAAACAACACGTAGAAAAAGATATAAATGATACAGAAAGAGAAAAGGTTAATGTAAATAAAGAGAATGATAGTCTCGCAGAAAAAAAATCTAATGCCTCACAAGACCCCAGTTTAGTCGTAGAAGATACAAATGATCGTAATGAAAATATCATGGGAAAGTTACATAAAAAAGATATAGAAAAAACGAAAGAAATTATACAGAATGAATTGGACATCGATGAACCCAATTTAGATGAAATCTTCCAAGAACAATTGGAAGGAAACGTTCCAGTCAATGACTCTCCCAATATTACTATCACGGAAATCACAGAGGATAACCCAGAAAATAATATTGAACAATCTAAAGCTATACCTATTGAATCATCACCTAGTCCCAGTCCTTGTGAATTTCAACAGAAACAAAACGACGTTGAAATCGTGGATAACGAATGGTCTAAGCCCAGCAGGTAAATTTTATGTTTCCATTTTTTGAACTTCTATTCCTTAGTACATTTTATTCTTATGTTTGCGTGACATAACATTTACGTTTCAACACATGCAAAGCGAACGCGGTAGCTTCTCTCTGCCTGATAAATATAGCCCTATCCGATACGTCTTCCTGCACGCTCGGTAAGCTCTTAAAATTGTCATCAACGATCAGTGCTCGCGGCTGCTTTCATACCGGTGATTAGTTCATTTAGAGTCCGCCTTTCACATACACGCTCACCTAATGGATCAATACCTTCGAAGCGACTTTAAACCTAGAGATCCAGTGTACGGATAATCAGTTAGAAATGCCTTAGTTTTTGCAAGAGTTAAGGTTTGCTTTAGTTATGAGCAAGCTTCGGCGGTGGACATCCGAAGGTGGTACTCCTTTAGAAAAGCCCTTGAGACCCACCCGTGAAGGCAGTGTCCAATTATTCACGCCTGAAGTACGATGTGCATGTCAGTTTTTTCAATGTGATTCACTGCTCCCTGAAAGAGTAAATCCTGTTGGCACCAGACCGACGTCACGAGCTAGCAATATTATTTCAAATTTGAGGTAAGTTTATGTTTTATACTCCAATACGTATACTGACATTTTATGACGAAAATTACGATGTAGAAAATAAATTTGAAGCTTCTTAAACGTCTTCCCCGGTGACCGCTGCGGCTAAAACGAGCACTGACGGTTGGCCTAATTGTGACCCGAGTAACGCGTTTGAATGTGTGCAGTTTTAAATATAAATTGAATCTGCTTTGCGATTGACATTTATATTATAATGCAAAGCGAATATTATTTTTGCATTCTTCTCTTAAAATGCGAATGTAGGAATAATGTACGTGTTAATTTTCATTTACTACAATATCTTGAATTAATTCCGTGAATATATATGTACATATATATAAATATGTATATATACACATACACTTGTATATATGTTTCAGTGATCACGAGTATGAAATAATAGAAAAACCGCCCCCAAATATAATCTATACTGCTCCAAGTATAGACGAGGGACCAAAAATGGTTAAAACTGATGATGAGCTATCGAGCACTACTTCATTAGAACGAAAATTTTTACAACATGCATCGGATGAAGAGGAGCAAATTAATGGAAAAGAAAACGAGGAAAATAATGAAGAAATTCTTAACGCCGAATCTCTACAAAAGTGTATAGAGGAACGTTTTTTCGTTAACACACCTTCTACAGTATCTAGAACTGAGTGTGAAATAAGTACTAGTCAAGTAGATTCATCTGCTTTAGAAAAGTTGCCATTACAACGTAGTAATCGGTCGAAAAACACCGAAAATGTAGATAGAAAAATACAGCAACGTTTTAAAGAAGGAACTGGAAAGTTAAAGTCACATGCTGAAAAATTAAAAACGAAGATTCAAAACATAAAAACAAAACAATTTACAATGCCTGACCGACCTAAATTTAAAATGCCAGATCGACCAAAGATTCATTTACCCGAACGACCAAAGTTCACTCTGCCCGATCGACGAAAATTTAGTCTTCCTGAAAGGTCAAAATTCAAAAATTTTAATTTTCAGGAAAAGTTCGGTATGGGAGATCGAAAGAAATTCACATTTCCGAACCGACCAAAATTTAATGTTCCCGACCTTTCCAAAATAAAAATGCCTGAGAGACCAAAGATAAATTTCTCTAGTTTAGGTAGAAAAAAAGAAAACAAAGTGGACACAACTATCAGTGAATCTAGTTCAGATTTGCAGAATGTGGCAACTGTAGACTTCGAAGCAAAAACCTATCCTAGATTATTTAATAGAAAAAAGAAATCTGAACTACCAAAAACATCTTCTTCGCCTACATTAAATAGAGAAGACACACCCCCACCAACTTTTACCTTTACGAGAGTAAAAAAAGGTGACGAAGAGCGCTCTACATACATTCCTGATAGCCCCGAGGAACCAAGGGAATACGGTGATGTAAATAGTGAAAACGATTACAATAACGGACAGGATGGCAGGAAAAGATTTGAAACTACTTATGACTTTGACAAGCTTAGTCCAGAATTCTTGGACGAGGATACAGAATCTTCTAATCTTAATGAACCCCGAAATTCAACTTCGATACCCGACATGTCACTGTCCAAACAAGAATATACACATATTAACGAAATCAATAACGACGAATTTTTTGTACGACCGAGAGGTATTTCCCGCGAAAATATTCAGGTAAGAGAGTACTTAAGTGATGAAATCCGACACGCATTTAACATACCACAAAATATCTCGCCACAATGGGGACTACTCCAGTAGCACATGACGAGCATATGTATGCGAATGAGCCTGAAGCCGATCCTGAACTTTTTATGGAAGAATCTGAACCCATTAAGTATTCAACTGAGGATATTAATGAAAGAGATGATGGCTATTATACTTTTCCACCAGTTAGACCATCCAGAGCCAAACGAAAGAAGAAAGAAACAGAATCAATTAAATACATTGATGATAGTGTCAACGCGAGTATACAGTTTAGCGAAGTTGATTTGGGACTTCCTGAGAATCAAGTCGAGGGGCAGCAGACCGAGCTAAACATTTCCGATGAAGCTGCTGAATCAATAAACTTTCATCCTGAGTTTATAACATCTACTGATCTACGATCAATTAACGAATATGCAAATGATGAAGTCATTGAATATCCGGAAAGTACACCCGTTGTGTCCAAAACGTTACCAATGCCTCCGAAACGAAAGAAAAAGTTCAGCAGAAAAGATCTGAAACATTCTTCGTTGAATGACTTCAAGACTATAACGCCGACAGAACTATGGGATGGGCAGCACGACCGAGATGATGTGAGTATAATAGTATTATTTTCATCATCATAATCATCATTTCAGCTAGTTTGAGGCCACTGCTGAACATAGGCCTCCCCCACAGACTATATTATTTTAAACACTTTTAATTTTTATCTCATCAATCAAATCTTTTTAAAATTAATCTACATAATTATAGCTTTTCTTTATATGTATAAATAAAAAGCAGAAGCATAAATAGCATATAAAAAGAAGAAGATATACAAAATGAAAACAATCATAACTAAAATAAAAATCATATCTTATTAAAATATTATGTGAAAACATAGATAAATTCTTGATAATATTTTATAATAATTAATGTGTAATAATAATTAGTAATGAATAATTTCATATTCAAACCTTTTCCAAATTACCTACTCTTTTGATCTATTGTGGAAAATATCGAACGATTGAAAAATATTTTATATTTAAAATATCTTTGCTTGTCATAAAATATATTCTTATAGAACTGCGTTATTAAAAAAACTAGTGACCAGTCGAATTCAATATTTATAATGATATCGATCTAACTATCTGCTATATTATTCGATCAAAATGAAGGTTGTTCAGTGGTAAATTGGTTATAAAACGTTCCGGAGACGAATCCTTCACCTGCGGGTAATAATAAAAAAGTATGTGTGTACTTATGTACGGTACGCACGTAAGAAGTTATGCTTCTATAACGTCAGAACATTAAATGCAGCTGATAACTGTTTATTTAAATAACTTGGAATTATTGTTAAATGTCAAAAGATTATCATTGGTAGCTATGGAAATTAGTTGAAAAAATATGTAAAATTGGTCGCAACCAACTTCGCAGTATTCACCAAATTCAATAGCAATATTATTTCAAAAATTATACAAAAATATATAATATCTTAATATATTGATAGAAATATGACAACTCGTTGTATTAGATAATTAGCAAAGAACATGTACTCTTTACTAATTATATAACAGCAAACAATAAAAACATATCTCATTATCATATGTCATGTGTTTTTTTTCTTATGAGCATTATATAGTTTATCATCATCAAAAAATCCACACTGACTGCCACAAAACACTATCCTGGGCCACCTGCATCCATCGACTTCCGGCACATTTGCTTAGGTGCTCAAGCTATTTCTATCAAATGGGGGGTTGTCCTACACTACAATGGCAAATATAAGGCTCGAGAACCTTTCTTCCCTTGTTCTCCGAGCTATATGGCCGACCCATAGTCCTACTGTGAATGTCTTCATTATGAATTCTATCACGAGCATAGCCCGCTCTATAGCTCGCTGGTCGATTTTGAGCTTCTCCTTACGTCCAGCAGTGTAGCTCAATAAACTTATGTCTAAGCAAATATTTTACAAGGTTATCGCACCAGATCATATAGTACTATATCATTAAATTATGTATAACTGGTCGAATAACTTTAAACAATCTCTTTTGGCAGTTGTCCAGTAGATTAGTTTACTCTGGTACGAAACGTTTATTTTCGGAAGCAGCATCGTCCGATTGTTGACCTAGTTAAGACGAATAAATGAGAGACCGGTTAAAGTTTCGTTCGTTTTTATATTTAACAACAAGGTCAGAGTGATGCGGTGACGGTCATGAAAATTACTTAGAAAACTTCGGAATTATAAAAATTAAGTATTTTTATATAAGTATAGTTGTGTAATCGTCCTGAGTACCTTGTAAGGTACACCCTGTTAGGCGAGTTTAGATAAAATCTTTTGCTATGACATAATTTTTAGTAAGCGAAATTTTGCAAATATTATCTTTTAGCATAAAACGTGTACATACCTACTAATATATACTACGTCAAAGCAGTCTTTTTGAAAACAGCATAACAAAAATTCATGGCTTGGATACGTCATAAAAAAATACTTTTTTTTTTTGCGTCGTTTACCCATATTTCTAAGGTCTATGATAACAAGAAAATAAACCCCTATTATAAAGACGTTTCATCGTTTCCAGATAATTGTGTACCGGACGGAGCACGAATACATAGTGCCACAGTCAGAGACCACAGCCACAGAAAGAAGCCCCGTACCGCCTCGTAGGAATCGTTCTAGAAGCTCTCGTGGTACGTCACTTTGCGATGACGATCGAACGTCTCACGGTGCTGAGTCTCTGATACTAGATACTCACTTCCCACCAACAGAGGGCACTAGCGTGCACAGAGAAGCAAGACAAGAAAGCCCCGGGTACGCCACAGTAGATAAAGGACCCTACGCACCCAGCAAAGCTGCCAGGCGATCCAAAAGCAAAACTCCACCAGTGCGTCGTCGCAAGAGCAATAGCTCCGAAAGAAAGTATTACACAGTCGGGCCAGGTAAAAGGACGACGCCGGATCGGCCGTCGAGGAAAAAATCTTCCACTAGTTTAATGACGTTGGATAGTTTCACTAAGCGCTCTATTAGTGGTGATATGTCTCAATACGTGGAAATCGACAAAAACCCGTCCAAAAATATTCACAAAGGTTTGATTTCGGGAGAAGTGGTGAAAAAAATGAAAGATAGACCTTTACCACCCCCACCCAGACCCCCTAGAGGACCAAAGAGAAAAAAAAAGTTTGATGAAGAATCCTTCGAACCAATTTCAACAGAGCTCATAGCACCCTTTGATACTTTTTCTCGGCACACTCCAGAACTACTTGCGACAGACGATGTAGTAGAAATAGAGGTTTCAACGCAAACAGATCCACTTCCCGATGATATAGATTTTGAGTATGGTCTGGATGAAAACCTTGACATATCTATGTCCAGCTCGCTAAAAGATATTATTGATGAAGAATCAATGATTGGTAGATCAAGAAGAAAAATTTCAGAGAGCTCCCGTTTTTCACGAACTGCTTCAAGATCAGAAAAATCTTTGAAACTATCAGATCCTAAAATATCCGAGTTATCGAAGTCAAATATCGATAGATCATCACCAACTGTCATTTTGGTCGAGAAACGTGTGTCAAGCCCAACAAAAATTAATGAACGTGAAGAAATGTTAACTGAAGCATCATTAACTGTCCAACACATAGATATAGACGAGTCAAAAGTTCCAGAGGTACCTCCTCTACCAAAATCTAAAGGTCTAAATGAAACCACTGTTTTAACTGAAATTACTTCACCAAGCGAAGAACAAACACTCGAGAGGGTATCTGATGGATCTAAAGACGTACAGCTAGATAACTTAGTCACTCAACGACTTCAGGTGAAAGATCTAGATGTAGGTAGGCTTAACGTTTCCGAGCTGCAAGCCAGTAAAATTTTAGTCTCTGACATAGAGGGTATGACGTTACAAGTCAGCGAGCTTGATTCAAAATCTGGTCACATTTCTGTAAGTGGTATTGAGTTTTCACAATCAGTAATAGATGAAATTGTTAAGAAATTCGCGGAGATATCGACAAGCAGCTTACAAGGTACAAATGCGAGTCAAGAAGTTGTTGATGTACCAAGACCAATTAGTAGAGAGGAGCATACTCAAACAGAAGAGATGCAGACCGAGAATGCGGTAAGTTCCGTGGAAACGCAACCAATCACAACGGTTTCCGAAAGCCACAAGGATTTACCAGCACTCCTGACTAGGCCAGCCATCGAGGAAGCTCTTGTCCCACCTCAAAGACCACCTCCACCAGACCTGAGCCCCCTTTTATATTCTTATTTACAGGACTTTACTTTACCGACATCTTTCCGCCCTCCCTCGATCCATGATAGACCGCTCACCTCCACCCACGATCCTCAACAGCAGTCTCCACCACCACCAGTGCGGAGAGTAAAGAGGAAACCAGCTGCCGCACCCGCCAGTGACTCCAGCTCAGACAAAGATAAGCTACGTCCCTCACCTAGGCGGATGCCGCACCCAGGGAAACAGCACGAGCCAACAGTTACAGAAACCGGGGCGCAATTTCTACGCGCGTGTCAAAACTCCATCACTAGGACTATAAGAAATATTTTCAACGCTTTCATGTCGTACATCCACGGCCACGAAGATAAGAAGGACGTACAGATGGCGCTGGTAATATTTTTGGTGTTGATCGCTGGCTTAATTATGTTCGGCCTCAGCGACAGTCGCACGGTGCACCATCATCATTGGGAATTCTTTAATCCACCGGACGGTAATCAGTGATTACTCCAACTTACCTGCTACCTTAACTTTATCGTAAGTTTTAGGTTTCAGTCCACAATTTAAAATGATAATAAATTATTTAAGATTAAAAAAATAATCAAATTCATATCATTTTACCTTTACAACATAGTCATTGTTAATTGACGATTCGTTGATTGAAAATTTATTCTAAATCGGCTCTGAATTAGCATAAACAATACGTCTAAATTTATTAATTTTTTGTTCAACATGTATTTCTTATGAACCATTATTTTCACTACTACATTGTTATCTGCAAATTTTATCGTTATTTTTTATTTGTTAAGTTTCTTTTTCTCTTTTAGTTATTTTATTTAAATTATTGTTAACGGTGTTTAAAGCTCAAACTCGTATAAAAGATGTAAGAGTAATTTATCTTTAAGTCATTAATCGGCATTAGAATAGCTGTACTGTACTAACGTGAAATTAAAATATTCGATATTTAATCATTTGGCAAATGTGCTCCTATTTAAATACAAATAGTAGACCTCTAGTATTTGAGCCGAAAATACACTGTTAAAGCTGTTATTAAAATTAAGTGTGGGCTGGTAAATGCATTTTGTAAATTTTCTCTCACATTTGTTGTGTAATTATGCGAAATAAATGTTTTGTTAAAATAAGTGGCTTTAATTCCTTTCTTATGTTTAGAGTAAATTACCCATAACATATATGCATCAAATGAAAGTAGGTACCAACCAAATTCTTCTCATTAAAAACAGGAAAGGCAAAATTAATTCATTAATTCGAGGTTAGGTGAAATTTGTCTTTCTTTAGATATATAAAATAAAAATTGAAACGAAGCAAATTTCTTCAGTTATAATTTCAAGATTAGCGACGAAATTTTAAAAATTGTCTTCTAGGAATGCAAAACACTAATTTCGATTTCTGCTTTTTATTACACGACTCACTAAATTCATGATAAGAATACAAAACATGTGTTATGTTACCCACTTGTATATATTAATGCACTAAATATGTACATCTGTCTCACCTAACGAACCCAACCTATCAGTTCGAAATAAATAAACATGAAACCTAAATTATCTTATTTTTATGAATAATAATGGGTAAATGTAAATAACTTTAACTCCGGCGTAATTCAAATCAAATAAATTTTAAACGATAGAGAAAAATCTCTAATGAATTAATCAACAAGCAGAATTCGGCGGTCGCTTATAGTTTTCGAAAAAATAAATAATGAAATAGTGTGATTTTTACTATAGAAATCCGCCATTTTTTTGTTGTCAATATGTCAATTCAGCTTGTATTTCTTGGTGGTCATAAAAAAAAACCTAACATCAAAGGTAAAGGCGGGAGCGGAGCTCCCGCCTGAACCTTCTAACCTAATCTATCTGAGTCGGATTCGCTCTGTGTTGGTTCTGTGACTCATTAAATAAAAAAATAATCAGAATATCGATACGTGTATGATGTCGCCCGCTTCCTATATTTATCATGTTGGCAGAACTGTGTATTGAGTTTTTGAAGTCAAACAAATAAAATGGTGGATTTCTTAGTACAAAAAAAACCAGTTTTAAATATTTTTTTTCTCGAAAACTATAAGCGACCGCCGAATTCTGCTTGTCGATTAATTCATTAGAGATTTTTCTCTATCGTTTAAAATTTATTTTAATTGAATTACGCCGGAGTTAAAGTTATTTACATTTACCTCATAATGTTTTAAGTATCACTGTATTTCTACACCAAAAAGTAAAAATGAATATCCTCTTAAAATTATTGACAAATGTAGTGTTGACAAATTAAAAATGTCTTGGCGGAGAACCTTTGATTTTCAGCATTTCATTACATACCCTAGTTATTGTTCTGGAATGTCTACAACGCCATCTAGCGCTTAGAGTGTACACAATGTATTTTTCGTAATGATGGAAGTGAATTTTCTACTAGCGCATTTTGATTCTAGAACAGCGTTGCAAACGGCTGAACGGCAGTTTCATGTTATTTTATTGCATTACCTTGCGTTATAGCAAATGATCTTAACTAAAAATGTTATATTTATGATTATAAAGAAGTTTTTATATTTTTTTATTCAAACTGCGATAATTATTTAGATGCACGGTCTATATCAAATTGGGCTGAAAATGAATGATAAAATCGGTATATAATTGCGCCCTCTCGTGGACATTTTAATGAAATGCTTTCAATGCCAGTAGACTATGTAATACATATTATGATTAACAGATGGCGAAATCGAGGCTGAATTTACTTTACTTGCCTTTATCATTAAATTAAGTATAAACTTATACATTACATATATATCTAGATACATGTTTAAACATAAATACAAAAATTATATTATTTTAGATCTAAAACTAAATTATCGATAACGCAGTCTATCATTTCCTTGTGCCATGTTATGTCAAATAGTTGTCCCATTTTTTATTTCTTTAAGTTTACATGTCACGTATCCGTACACTGTAAATTCTTGGTACAGTATTCTTGATATTTTGACCGTCTTGAACTGGGGTTATATATATATTCTTTCTCTTGTTTTGGCTATTAACAAAAATAATTTTTTGAACGATTTCCTTCGTGTGATAATACAATTGGTATCCAAACTATCACACAAAGGAAGACACAAACTATGAGACAAGGCAAAATAAACGAAGGTCACAAGTTCTATGAAGCTTAAAGAAACTATCAATAGGAACCGTTTCTAAAAACTTTACATTAAGATGTTATTGTAACTTAATGTCACCAACCATCAGGTTCCTCATCATCGATTGCTATTCTCATAGCATTGCTTTAGTCATTTTTATCTCGACAACGCTCGTCCATACAGCACAACGGACCGTGTGTAAACTATAGTTGGCTGGAAATACTTCATCACCTAACAAACTAACCAGACCTCCCACTGATAGCCTGATTTTATTAGAAAATTAAGAAACTGTTAAAGAAAATTTCGAAGTGACAATCCGCCCTCAGTCTTCATCGATTACTCTCTCCAGGATTTCTGTAGCAAAGGCTTAAGGCGCTGCATGCAGTGAATTTTTAACTATTTGGGTGGTATTTTACTTTTATATTATAATAGGAATAATAATAAACAAACAAATATAAAGTATGAGAAAGCAATCAACAATTTTAGAAAATATTCTTCATGTTTATTATTATTTTTTTAATTAAATGGAAAAGGAATTCATTAAAAATGCATCTTAAAGTCAAATAAATTAATAAAGGCAAATTAATTTTAATTATTATTTTTTGTTTTTATGGTTACAATGTAGTAATGGCTCATAAAATTTAAAACACTTTGAACAGACCTCGCGTAGCCTGTTAGTCCGAGCGTCATACACAACGATTAACTATTGCTGTAGTCCCAAGTTCAAACCACTCATCGAGTGGAGTTGTATTTTTTATATTATTTTCACTTTTAATTTGGTAGCCAACTAATTATTTTGTTTTTATTTTATAAAATGGCTCAATTTGTAAACACAAACAAACAAATTATAAAATAATTATTTTTCGTGTATAAGAAAAATTTTCATTTTAGGGTGAACAATTAAATAAATTAATAAAAAAATAGATGACGTTAAAAAAGTTTAATACTAAAAGTTGGTTTATTTACTGATAGATTGTTCTCCAACTGTTTCAACTTTGAAGAAATATGAAAATAAAAAATAAACAATAATTAAATGGTAATTAAGAAATACTTCCAAATAAGAAAATGAACAATAAGTACAACAAAAATTTAGGGATTTGAACCAAATCCATAAAGAATGATGGTCCTATACACTGTATCTAGAGGACTGATAGACCAATCAATCACGAGATAAGACATTGAAATTATGCTTTAAATAAATTAATTAACAACTGTTAATACATACAAATAATTTATAAATGCGAAATATGTGAGTATATATTTTTTAGTTTCGTGTTTTCGAAGGTCTAATAAAATTAAAACTCTCAATAATAAATACGAAACCTATTTCGTAACGGTGAGCGGGCAATGAGCGGCATAGGTCTATCTAGCAAGGCGCCTCAGCGCTCTCTGTTCAACGTGTGGAGTTGTAAGAGAACCGAAACAACGCGGTGGCGCGGTGTTTTGCCCATCGCGTTCGAATTAATTTTAATGAATCAAATTAATATTCACAAACTTCAATCAACAAATTAAGACAACAGTTCTATTTATTAATATATTCTACACCACTGATATTAATTTCATTATGATTTGTTCATTTATTTCATCTATTTTTTTATTTGAATTTCACGTTTAGAGGTAGGTTCGTCATTTTTTTCTATCGAGAAAATATATCGAAAATATGTTTTAAAGACAATGGTCCATTAGAATGTAAGATTAAGATTAACATACATTTTTTGTTTCTATTAAATGCATAGATTTTGTGAAAAATTTTTTTGAAAAACCTATTTTTACTGCATACAGCGCCATAAATGAACTTAACCAATGCTTCAATTAAATAAGTATATTTTTTAATTTAAAAAAAATCTGCAACAAAAACATATAATTGCAATAATTATTACAAAAATGATAATCATCATCATCAGCTGGTCCATAGTTGCATAAACAATGAGAGACAATGAGCCTTTTTTAATCTAAAACTATTTATGATCTTTTTTGTTTAGCAATAAAATTTATGTATGTATAGAGAAAAGTAAATATATTATGTATATAAAATATGGCAAAATTAAAATCTGTAAGAACAGTATTAGATAAAAATATTCATCGTCTCTTTCTTTCATGGGACAGGAAAACTTGACCTCTTCTCTCATATAATAGGTATACAGTCAAGGGCGGATCCAGGGGGGGGGGGTCGTCATGGGGGTCATGACCCCCCCCCCCCCTGGGCTGGGTCCAGGACCTAGGTGGACCACTAATTAAAATTGTATAACATAATGTTTTTATATATTTTTTGCACACATATATAGATTTTATGTAAGTCCCTTCAATATTTAATTAAAATAATATAATATTTTTAACCGACTTCAAAAGAAGGATTTTCTCAATTCGATTGGTATATTTTTTTCGATGTATGTTCACCGATTACGTTGAGATTTGATACGATTTCCGTGATTCTTCTTTAGTTTGATGCAGAATAGTTGCCATTTGGTCCCATAAAAATTTACCATAGTTTTGCCAAGTAGTTTTTATTTTATGAACATTTTTACAATATTTTGATGACTCCGTGGCGCAGTTGGCCAAGATTTTGGCTTCGGCGTCGAGGGTCGTGGGTTCGATTCCCACACGGGACAACTATGTGTGCTGTCCACAGATAGTTGTTTCGCATCTGGATGTTTGTTACAATACAAGATAATGTTATCCTAAAGTGAGGGCAATGTTTATTAAAAAAAAAATTGTAATGTTAAATCATCAAATCAAATCTTGCAAATTGAATTTGATCTACTTCCGTAACCGTACTGGTTGAGCTACAATTTTGTATACATCTGTAAATCGCGACAATCCAATATTTTTGTGACATGGTGCTGATCTGATGATGGAGCTGGAAGAAGGCCAAAGGAACTTTGAAATGAAACGACAGAGCCTCATCGCGTTTGGGTACATTTGAATCGTATTAATGAGTAGTTTGTCTTTCATTGGTAACCACGATCTGATGATGGAGCTCCATCTTCACCCGTCCATGGACATATGCATAGGGTTGCAGATGCGTTTTCTCCCTATAATAAAGTGGGCTCCGGCTAGGTAGCTAGAGCCGGAGCAAAATGCATATCTTGAGTGAGGTACTCACCAGACAAATCGCAGAAGAACTGTACGCCGATCTGAGGCTATTCTGTGACGTTCCTATGACTACAGAGTATGTAATAAAACGACTCAACCCCATCGAGATTCGGTTCGTTTGATTCGTCTTGGCGAGTTCTTAATTTTTAGATGGTTACCAGGGTCTGATCTGATGATGGAGCTGGAAGATACTCATATGAATTCAGTAAAGAAACGACGCAACTCTATTGCGTCTCGGCTCGTTTGATTCGTCATGACGAGTTCTTTGGTGCTAGATGGTAACCAGGGTCTGATGACAGAGCTGGCATGTGGCCATAGGAACTCAGTAATTAAATAACATAACTGCGTCGAGTTTGATTCGTCTTAGTGGGTGGACCGTTTTTGATGGGTGGTGAGATGTGGTGGTTTGGTGGACGTGAGTATGCGAGACCATCTTTGGGAAATAAAGATTGTTCTTTCCGTTTGTTATGAATGTGGATTCTGTCTTTGATTATATGGATTAGAAGCGCTGAATATTATGAATGAATAAATGAATGAATGAATAAATGAATGAATGAATGACTGAATAAATATTTTTTTGTTATTTATGAACATTTTTAATGTGGACGATGTAATTTTTTTTTGTGTACGGCTATTTTAGGAGTTTTCATTTGGGTTCATTATATATTATTATCAACCCGTGTCCCTTTAGTCTCGTCTCAGGCTACTAGTCATTGAAGTAGAGCCAGCGTGCGGAGTAGAGGAATAAAGAATATTATAACCAACATGACTATATAAAATCTGTTAACGAAGAAATAAAAAAAGAAATTCCAAAAATAAGTAAACCTACCTATAGCTACTTAAAAAAATACTATACAGGGTGGCTTTCCTAAGTGTATCCATTTTTTTATTAAATTTTAAACATAAATAAAGTTATATAAAAATTATAAATATTTAAAAACACTCATAATTAATTAATTGCATTCATTTGAACTTATCTCAGAAAGTGCGTGATTTATGGGCAACTCATTTATTTTACGCGCGATCATTCATAACTAACACGCACACAATTTCGTTTCAAAAGTAGACGCATTTATGAATGACTACCGCATAGTCAAGAAGTTTGTTGTTGTTTTTAGGAAATAGAATGCCAATTTTTTTTTTTAAAGTTTGTTTTTATTTCTATAAACGATTATATTACCGAGCCTGAACCTCCGGTGTGAATTTGGGCACCTTTATAAAAGCCAACCTGTATAATATATGATAATAAAAATCAACGCTATGTATGAGCAGAACAGAATTTTGCAAATCCGTCTATATATGACGAAGTTATGCCCGAACATACCCACATAAAAAAAATATAAGCATCCGAATTGTCTCCTCCTTCTTTTTGAAGTCGGTTAAAAATAAGTACCTACTTTTTACTTCTATCTATGATTATAAAATAAATTATAACTTCTTATCACTTGACCACAACTATGTGACCCTGGTACCAAAGCTGGATCCGCCCTTGGATACAGTCCTTGATGGTAAGTGCACTTGAGAACGCCTGACGCTCAACCACGTAGTAAGTTAATGTAAAGGATTTAACAGTTTGTCTTACCTTTTCCGTCTCTTTGTTTCCTAAAAAACGCGGGTGCATGTGGCTCCTAATTATTTCAGCGCCAGCCTTGATCTACGCAAGAGGAGTGGCCGCACTAAGCTCCAGGGAGCAAGGGGGCCTAAAGGTAAGAAGCCAAAAAACACTTTTCACATAAAATAAAGTTTTGAATGTGCCTTTGGAGAGACGCGTCTTACGCCCGGTTTCTGAAACACTGATCATTGAGATGATCATTATGATCAATTCAAAATGATCTTCTTAATGAGTGGGATGAGTTTACGAGTAAACATCCTTTTGGAAAATCAAATGACATTTTGTGTCTTGGCGAATTGAAAATAACAACAAATACAAATTTTATTATGTTAGTAGATTCCTGCGTAGTTCGACTCGGGGAACTAGTAGCCGCTGAGAGCTGCAGAATCTGTTTAAAAAGTTTAAATATTAGCCGATAGCTCGGCGGAAGTCGTGGGTCCTCGTTCGGTTTTGGCAGGATGATGGTCTTGCTGGTTTTCCACTCTGAGGGCGACTGTGCCGTAGGCAGTACACTTTTCAGACGATACAGCGACGTTAACCATCTTCTCGGTAGCTTTTTGTTTTTTTAGCGTCGTGTGCCTTGGGAAACGGAGGATAGGATGGACGAGCCTGCCCATTCGTGCAATATCGAAGACTGTTGCGTGGCTGGCAACCACTGTTAGAATTTTAGCGCGAATGTTCAATCACTTAATAATAAATATTTTAGGACACATAAATATTTAGAGAGAGTAGTAGAGAGTAGCGGGTTCGATTCGCACACGGGACAATAATTTGTATGACCCACGGTTAATTGCTCCGTATCTGCGAGTTTATTCTCATGAAGGGCTTACGCCATGCAGGCGGTTGGTCATAAATAATGTAACCAATACACAACATGATCCACAAGTCATGCCGAACTCATCTGGGTGGGATAAAGGCAGGAGAAATTAGAAGAAGAAGAAAAAGAAGAAGAAGAAGAAGAAGAAGACATGTATATTTCAGGATTCAATCACAAGCATTGGATCGTCAAATTAAGATAAAGAAGCCAAATTAACGGTAGCAGCCTCGGCCGGACGGGCCTGCTCATTCGTGAGTTCGTCCGGGTAAGTACCACGACCTCACAGAAGATCAGCGTAAAGTGGAAGTATGACAAATACTTTCGCGTTTCGTCTGGTGAGTGAGGTAGCCGGAGCCCAATTTTCAATAGGTTGTCAACGCATGTGTAACCCTCGGGTGTGGCAGATGTCCATGGGCGGCGGTATTCATTTAACATCAAGTGAACCGTCTGTCTGCTCGTTTGAAAAATTTTCACATAAAAAAAAAATTCCATAGATCATGCCTAAATTACTAGTACATGGTCAAAATTGTAAAATATACACGGGTGTTGTTTTAAATTGATTAATATTTTTATCTATCTCAAACTATTTACATTATATAGTAATACTATTGATTCCCAAACAGGGTTGACGTCAGGTAGACGACCGACCGGACGTAAAAAAAATATCAAAAACCGCTAACAACACAGTGAACGCAAATAAATATGGACGCATTATTGTCGCTCCAAAAAATGACATAAGGAGAAACTGTACCGTGACGCCGCGGTCTTATAAACCGTACCGCGAACTAACACATAAGTTGTCTGTGAACTGTCAGTCAGAGTTGGGGTGCTATTTATTAACAATCACTTGTATGTGCTTCGTTGTTTTATTAGCGCTGTAACAACATGATTCATATGTTTCGACCCCACATAGGTAGCATAAGAACAGGAGCATGATGATGACGTTTTATCATTAAGTACCTTTACATTAAGCAATATAGCATATGTTTGAATATATGAATAAAAAAAATATAACTGTGATAGGACCATGCAACAGTCCTCGCTGTTAAACGAATGGGCAGGTACATCCGGGGAAGTACCACGACCTCACCGAAGACCGGCGTGAATTGGAAGTGTTTTTCTTCTGCGTTTCGAGGCCCATTTTAATAAAAGGTAGCAACGCATCTGCAACCCTACGGGTGTTGTAAATGTCAATGGGCGGCGGTGATCAGCAAGCATCGGTTGAACTGCCAGCTTCTTACCTTTTCACATAAAAAATAATAATTTGTTATAGGCATACTAAATAAAACAATATATTATTTCTTATTAATTTCATTATCTTTACAAATATTGAATTCCGGTATTATTTCCATATCTGTATAATATAATAAAACTTGTTCGTCTGTTTCGCAGTTTATATAGAGTAACTAGAGAAAAAAAACAGGGAAATAAAATTAAAAAAACTCATCTGGACTCCAACCGTTGGTCTTTTTCCGTAGTTTTTCCTAGCCGTTGGTAGTTTTTTCTTGATTCTCGAACAGCAGATATCATTGCAACCTCAACAGCAGACTTAATTGCAATGGAAATAGTTCCTGTAAATCAGTATGAAAGAGAGAAATTCATCAGCCCTGACACGAGTGTTTCTAGCACGCGGAATATTTATTTATTGATGCAATAGGCCTAGAAAACACCAACTGCATCAATAAATAAATGCTGCCCTCGGCGGTAAATATGACTTATCAATAGATAAAGAGTTAACTGCACCGATTCCTACTTAATTATTCCGGTCAGTATAACTGGGTCACCAGTTTTTGATTGACTGGCACCAACAAGTTCGTTCGGGCAAGACGTATTATCAGTCGCCCATTGTCTCCAAAAGGTACTTGCAGCATTGGCCATTGGTAATAGGCAGCGAGCAGAAATGGCTTGCATCTCGTGCTGTTTCCTGCTCGACTACATTTTTAATAGAGACAGACGTCAGCTGGACACGTCGAATACGGCTGAAGACCATACCACCTGCCCCCTGTTGGAGATCCAAGGAGCAAAGGTTCGTACGGTGTTACACAGTTTTGTTAGTCCCGAGTTACTAAAAGTTGTCAAACGAGCAGACGGTTCACCTGATGTTAAGTGAATACCGCCGCCCATGGACATCTGCTACACTCGAGGGTTACAGATGCGTTGACAACCTTTGAAAATTGGGCTCCGGCTACCTCACTCACCAGACGAAACGCGAAAGTATTTGTCATACTTCCACTTTACGCCGGTCTTCTGTGAGGTCGTGGTACTTACCCGGACGGGCCTGCCCATTCGTGCAACAGCCGAGGCTGCTGCGTGGCCCCATCTATACTATACATATCTGCTAGTCGATTCTCTTCCTCACTTTCTACTTTTCGGGTCAGTGCCAGGAATAATTATCATTAAATAAACAAATAAAAATGCTAATTTGAACAAAAATATGGAATAACTCAGATGGCTCTCATTCAATCAATTATAGTTAATATTATAAATTATAAGGATTTCAGGTTCAGGTAAGTATCACTACCACACAGAAGACTGACGTGAAATGGAAGTGTCAAACTTCTGCGTTTTGTGTGGTGCGTGAGGTAGCCTGGGTCCACTTCATTAAAAGGCGGCAACGCACCTGTAATCATACGGGTGACGAAATGTCCACGGGCGGCGGTTAACACTTAACACCAGGTGAACCGCCACCTTCTCATATAAAAAAAGGACTATTCAGATAAAAACACACACACAGCCATAACCCTTTGTAACACTTATTTATATTGTTTATAATTATTTGTAAATAAACAATTTATATAGTTTTAAATTACAGCATTATTGCTTACGTTAATTTTGTTTGATGATAAGAAATGTCCATAAGGTGACTGTTGAAAAAATGATCCAGTTCACCCTCTACCCAACACCTACATCCTCCTTGTAATAACCTGAGCTCTATTACAGGCGACGAAGCTACAATGATCGATCCACTGGTAGGTCAGTGACCGTACAAGTAGACCAAAAGAACAAAAGAACAAAAAAAACACTCACGCCCGATTGCTGAAACACTGATCATCGTAGAATTATTTCAGTTGCCCAAAGGATGTTTAAACTCTCTGAATTGATCTCTGAAAATACAAAACCAGCATAGAAGCCTGCATATTCAACGAAGGACATGATTTATGACACCTATTAAGTAAAGTCGTTTTGCCCTTTTGTCCAACAAGATTGAAGAATCTTTTCTAACTTTTTCCAATATGGCCGGTGGGTAAAGTTAAAGCAAGAATAGAACATGTCGCTATAATGATAATGTGACAAAACTGTACCTATTCAAATTGTTAACTGTGAACAACCACCCTAATCCAGAAATTATTAATAAAATGAGGAAAAAAATATTTGATCATTTTTTTAATAGTTTTTTCTTTTTTTTAAGTATAAAAATAATCACAATCACGAAATTTAAAAAAAATAACATTTATAAAAACTGGAAAAAAAATCTAGGTCATATATGGGTTCGTATGCGCTCAAACAAAATTTTAATCGAAATTACTTTGGACATATATGGGTTCATATGAAGTAAAGAAAGGACTAGAAATTTTAGTTTTAATAATAATATTAATTACCACTGTAATTTTAATCATGAAATACCGGCAAACACTTTCGTTTGTCGTTGTAACATAAGAGAACCATAAATTTGCAAATGGTGTAAGCTTTGTGGTCGCAAAGAAGACATTTTTAACATTCAGGCAAATCATCAAAAATATTTTATGATTTGCATGTCTTTTTAATTTTTTTCGGCGTGGGTAGTGGAGCGTCAGTTTTGTTATCAGTGGAATCACTATCTGTTTCGAGTATAACAAGAGATCTTCTTTGAGTGACGTTGAAATTCTTTAGATGGAACAATCTCTCTCTGAATCGGAAGCTAAATTCATCACCACTCTGTAGGCCATCACCAGATATAGGATTAACATACTTATTAGAGCCATAAACGCGAGCAGGATCCATTCAGCAACCAAGAAAATTAATTTCATGCTTATAACAAAAAATTACAAGTGCATATGAAACCATATTTGGTTCCGCAGTAAAACAATTAGTTTAGGTTAGAATGCATGCGAAACCAGTTTCACACAAAAACTCACAAACTATGATAGAAATAAGAAAAAAAAGTATCAAACAAATAAAACATACTTATAATATAAGAATAACAATTATATTTTAATTTTTTAACCAACGAATCTTGCCTTTTTGATTTAGAAAAACGTTTTTGAAAAACGAATTTACAGCCAATGTGTCGAACCTCACACCCACGTTTAGAAAAGTTTTAACTATATTAACGTATTGACAAAATTGCCAGCAAAAATATTTTCGTATTGCCAACATATATATATATATATATATATAACATATATAAATACAATGTAAACAGTGCGATTAGTTATTGTTCATGCATCATTAAAAATACTGAATTTGGTGAACCATATATGGATCGCTATGCGGGAAAGGGTTATTGCTTTCATATTTTAGGTTGCCTTAAAAATATAACAGCAAACAAAATTATGAACTAAATAATAGTTATAATAGCTAAATAATAGTTAAAAAAACTATGCCTGTATTTATGTAGGTACGCACTTAAGATGTTACACTTTTTAGTAATGTAATTGATAACGCTCTCGTAAGTAATTTCATTGAAGTTATTTAACTTCAGTAAATTTATTACTTGGAATTATTGGTGAATGTAAAAATTGTTATTGGTTGGAAAGAATAAATTGGTTACCAAGCATCATGTCGCTTGTTGAGGGTAAGTGTGCGCGCGCATCGTAAAAATTTTACTTGTTAATATTTGAACTAATTGATATATTAGGGTTAGGAATGGTTTATCCAAAGTCACTGGTTTTCAGTCAACTGTCGATGCCTGGGCGGAAGAGAGTGAATGAATGAAAATAATATATTTATTATGAGATGAATGAATGAATGAATAATAAACATTACTCTTAAATCCTTTCAAATGCCCAAAAGAAATAAAACGTCAAAAATCAAAAATCAGTTCTTACCAAAGTATACAAATACATTCTCAACTTTTGTTTGTTTGTTACTATAAAAATAAACCAATCATGAGAATAAAATCAATAAAAAAAGTGTTAAAAATATCTAGATATATCAAAAATCGAAAAGAAAATTAAAGAATCCGATCTATCAAGTAACATATAAAAACCGATTGAAGTATAATTTAATTTTTATCATTACATTAACATGATATTATAATTTACAAATTTAATCTCATAAATGTCATCATCATTTTAGCCTGTTTGAGTCCACTGCTGAACTACTGTTACAAACTGTTCAAAAATAATACTCCTAAATTAAATCGAAAATCCACTAAAATTAAATAAATTGGAACAAAAACTTCGTAAATTTAAAATCACGATTTTTATATTATCAAGGTATATTCAATATTATAGTTTACAGCGGAATAATTTGAAATATACGTACAAGACACATAGGCCTTGGCCTAACCTCCACCAAAGCACAGAATAGTACAATTAAATTACATTTTTTTCTTTCAAAAATATAAATAAATTTTACTCCTAAAACTATTCCTAAAAGATTTTACCTCCTAAAAAACTAACAATGTACATTTTTTCTTCCTAAATTTAGGAAGAAAATTCGTAAGTTGGCATCCCTGTCTCAACAAAAGCCTCCCCCACAGACTGCCACGAAGCACGATCCACAACCACCTGCATCCATTAACTTCCCGGTCCCGCGCATTTGCTCATAAATGTGTTTTTACCCAATGGATAAAAGGAAATCCAGAACAAAAAATAACCCTAGCAGGTGAACTCAGGAGTGTCTCTTTCTAAATAAGAATTATTTTTAATTTTTAGAAAATTAATTACATAAAACAAATTATAAGAAAATTTACGAAAAATTTTGGGTTAAATCGTAATATTTGTAACGCCTGGATTAATTTTAATGGCAATACAGCTTTCCGCGGGATTAGATATTTTATTCACGTACAGTCCAGTAGCGTCCTCTGCGAACAGTACCATAAACATAGGAAAAAATTAACTCACAATTTATATTTCCATAAAATAAATTCAAACCACTCAAAAACAAATATGATAGTCTGATTTTTAATAAAGATTTTATGATAATATTATGATAAAACAAAGTTTTGTTTGACAGTTGCTTTAATAATACTGGCAATGATCCGAATATTTTGTGTTATGGCAATTTTATGTGACGTCTGTCGGTCTCTCTGTAAAGTCATACAACCTGGTATTACTTAAATTTATATAATATGTAATAATTTTTTTTAAGAGAACAAAATCTGACCAATAGTATTTTTTCATTCCGTTGGACTAATAACAAAGATGGCGAAAACCTATAACAAGCATTTTTATTTTATTTTTTTTAAATATCTAAATGGAAATTTTATTTAAAGTCACTTTAACATTGACACTTTTACACATAGATCAGATATTCAATATTCTGATTGAATTTTATTTAATTACTTGATAAGTTAATTAGTATGAAAGAAGGAAAGGTATAACTAAAATTCATCATTTTACGACGTAGAGCTGTTTTATTTGAAACCGTGTAGATAATGTACTATAGCTAGCTAGCGTTCATATCTAGGCAGCTGTACCGTACGGCTGCTTCTGGTCGCGCGCTCTCGTGAGTCGTAGTCGTTTGGTAGCTTCCAGTTGGATTGCCGCGTGTTGAGAGCTCTACTTTCGCACAAATAAACAAAACTATTTCTTTCGAGTCAAGTATGACATATAATGAACTTCATTGATACTGTCTAACGGGATAATATTGTTTATTGAAATATAATGATAAGAGTTTAGAATATTTACTAGTGTTTTGTAGGAATAAATCTCCCTGTGTCGGTATATTCTGTTCTCAAGTTGGACACTTGTATTTTATTCTTACATTTAGTAATACAGAACTATGCAACAATGTGGGTTTTGTTCAATGGTTTCCGGTCTTTTACGTCGAGCCATGTGTGTTGGAAGCAGACGTGGTAGTAGTGAATCTTATTACCGCGAGCTGGGTGATCAAGACACATTGGTAAACACACATTCTGTACATTGTTTTATCTGTCAGCATCGGGCTTTGCTAGTTTGCATGTGCCCCTCATTCATATAAAAGTCGTGTCGTATGTGAGCCAATCGTAACGTTTATGAACTAACTTCTAATTGGTTTATTTACGCTATTTACAAATTATTGCACATTGTAGTGTGCTAATCAGCTAAGCATGAATGAATGTCTAATTTTTCTTAAATAAACTACTCATTTTCTTTTATTTTGCATTTTATTCTTGCCATGAATGCATACATACTACTTTCCATGTGTGCTGATTTGAAATTGGCACTTTTGGCTGTAGTTTTGTTTGCTGTGATCAAGTGAAAGTTGGTTTTCACTTTACTAAGTCATTGCTAATTCACTACTTTTGCATGATTGTTGGTGCTGATGTCATTTATGAAATAAAAACAAGTTTAGTATGGTATATATTTTTTTAAATATTTTATTACTTTTACATAAGATGTCAAAGTAATAAAATGTTAACCACATCCAAGTATTTGCTTTTATAATCCAATATTATTTGCTATTAATTTGTATAAAAATACAACCACAATATATATTTATTATATATCTCCATATATACCACCACAATATATGTTATATATTTACTGTGTATCATTTGCTTTAGTGTTTTAAAGTTAGTTGTAATGTTTAAAACAAATCTATAAAAAGGAATATTTTATTGTTATACCAATAAATGAAACAAATTAAAATCAAGCTGTAAGTTAAAATAAATTATACAGTCAATTATTTAACTACTACTTTTACAATTCAAAATTCAAAAGATGTAACAACCTTAAAATTATATATAAAATATTTATAAAAGATCTGAAGTTTTCCTTCTTTGTGTTAAAC